AAAGCAAGTGCCAAACTCTCAGAACCTAAGGCCCTTCACTGAGTAACGTTTAGCAAGCATACATCAAGCAAGCAAGAAGAGAAAAAAGACATTAAAGCCAGGTTTTCATTATCATCATCAAACCGAAAGAAAACACGAAATACCAGGGTTCCCAAACTAGCTCAAACGCTCGTCATCACCGCCCCTCGCTGTTAAGCCGCCACAGCGCCTCCGACCCCATCTCCTCCTCCGTCTCCAAAAGGTAGTACCTCTTTCCTTTCATACACCTCAATAACAAACAATAACGAAGCTTAATCAGAATCAATAATCACAAAAACTAAACATGCAATAAGGGATTAACGAAAACCTTAAGACATAAGCGAGAAAGTCATAACCTTTTTGTTACCGCCGTTTGAGTGAGCGTGAGGATGAAGATGAACGATGGCGCTGGTGGCTTTGGGGCAAAGGGTATTGTTCTGGACGTTTTGACTTGAGAGGTGAAGGAGACAAAGAAGTGACGAAGCAAAGCGACGACGGCGCCGTTCTCACAAACCCTAAGTCCAAGTGAAACGAAAACGTTGCAACCCTAAGACAAAAAACTTGTCACGAAGCTTGGGCCTCGCCCCATTCTAGCAATGCCTAAGCCCACCCGGATTTGAGACACCCCCCCCCCCCCCCCCCTTTCTGTTTCCCTTATTTCAGCCTGGGCCTAAAACCCTTTGAGCCCATCCGATCCTTTTTAACAAAAACTATTGTTTTTTAAAATTAATTTTATATTAATTTTTGCTTTATTAAATAAATACACTAATTTTATTTTACATTAATTAACCATACTTTTTTTATAACTTACTTAATACTAATTTTAATTTTACATTAACAATATTTTTATATATATATATATATAACATAATTAAATTTTATATAGAAACTAATAGAAATAATATTTTTCCTTAAACTTGAAATTTTTACTTCCTTTAATTAAAATTTTTTATACATGAAATGTTAATTTTCTTAAGTTAACACTTTTCTTTTCCTAAAATACTTTATTTGTACATATTAAACAAAAATACAAGAATACAAATTAAATAAACAAAATATTTAATTCTTTTCATTAAATTAACAATACTTAATTTTCCCCTTAAGTTAAATATTCTCAACACCTGTAAGTAAATCACATAATCATTTACACATACACTTACACTTACATATACACAATGCACTTATATTGATACATTATACATTTGCTTATTCTTGTATATTTGATACTTATTACATTTGATCGCAATTCGATTTGGTTGTAAATTATTTGGACACTACGCTCCTAAAGTCTCATCCCCATTTGTACATGTGTACCCCCACCCCCGGATACTATTTATAATAGTTTAGGACTTTAAATTCCCGCAATTTATCGCTTTCGAATTATACCATGGTTAGACCTAGGGTTTGTATGTAAATAAAATCTGACGCTAGATAACCTAATACAAGACAAATACAGGAAATCAATACACAATCACACTTGCACCCCCTAGGGTAATCCCACATGTTGCCTTCTAAAATGGGCCATGCTTGCACGTCGAGTTTCTTTGGCAAAATAATTCAAATGATCATAAGTCTCTCGATGACGCTTTCGAAAGTTGCCTATCAAAATGATCAAGTCCCTTCAAGCAAATTGCCAAAGACACTTGGCACCATTGCATTCATGGTTCATACAATGACCCGCGCCTGTCCCGTTAAACATCCTAAACACAAGATTGTCCACCAAATACAATGGTGGAACAAAATTGTTAAGGGTTAAAACATGAGGAAAAAAACCTTTGAGTACATTAGGGGTAGACAAAACTCTTAGTTACTTGATCAACTTGCAAAAACACTTGCCTACTTTTCAAAACCACATTCCACAAACACTTTCAAAAACAAACTTTCAAAAACATTTGAAACATCTTTTCGAAAAGATACACACCCTTGTATATACTCAAACACGAGTCATTACAATGGTTGCCGAAACAAAGGCGTCTATTTCAAAATATTTTCAAAACACACACACACACACACACACACACACACCATTTTCAAGCAATCAAAAATCAAGGCAAGTGATCTAAAACCAAGTAACTAAGAGCCCATGGATAACCATGGATGAAAAGGGTGCTAATACCTTCCCTTTTCATAATCTACCCCCCGAACCCACGAAACATCTCAAAAGGTTTTTTCCTGTGCTTTTTTAACCTTTCCTTTAGGATAAAATAAAAAGTCGGTGGCGACTCTTGCTAAACCGAACAAGTGCGAATGAAAAACGCAAAACCTCAAGTCAGTTCTCCCATCGTATCACAATTGCCTTTAGCAGTAATTGGTAAACCCGACACAAAATCCATAGAGACGTTGTCCCACTTCCACTCTAGAATACTCAAAGGTTGCATAAGACTTGTAGGCTTTTGATGCTCAATCTTAGACTTTTGACAAGTCAAGCAAGCATACACAAACTTAGCAATTTCCTTCTTCATACCCAGCCACCAAAACAATTTCTTCAAATCCTGATACATCTTCGTAGCACCTGGATGAATACTCAAATTTCTTTTACTTCCCTCTTCAAGAATGCTCTTCTTAAGCTCTAAAATGTCAAGAACACACACTCTAGCATCAAACCTCATCACCACATTCTCATCAATTCTGAATTTATCTCCTTTACCTTGGTTAATCAAAGTCAATTGATCAACTAACTTCAAATCAAACTTCTGACCTTCTTGAATTTCTTCTATCATCCCACTGGTAAATTTTAACATTCCTAATTTCACACTATCAGGAGTCTCTACACACAACAATCTCAGATCTTGGAATTGTTTGATCAACTCTAACTCCCGAACCATAAGCATCAACATATGCAAGAAATTCCTACTTAACACATCGGTAACCATATTTGCTTTACTGGAATGGTAACTCAAATCACAGTAATAGTCTTTCAGTAATTAAAACCACCTTCACTATCTCATGTTCAGTTCCTTCTAATCGAACAAATATACTAGAATCGAAACAATCAGGTTAGTTGTTGGTCTTGCAGAAATAAACAGTTGGTACAAATGTCAGATGGACATGAAGTGTGCATTCCTAAATGGACCCTTAGATGAAGAAGTTTATGTTAAAAAACTAGTTGGGTTTGTGAAACATGACGAAGAGAGAAAAGTGTACAGACTGCATAAAGCCCTGTATGGTTTGAAACAAGCTCCAAGAGCTTGGAATAAGAATATTGATAGTTTTCTAAGGGATAAGGAATTTGTGAAGTGTACAACTGAACATGGAGTATATGTAAGAAGAAGCAATAGTGAATTTCTTATACTATGTCTCAATGTTGATGACTTGTTAATAAGAGATAGTTGTAAGAAGGAGATCAAAGACTTCAAAGGTGATCTCAATAAGGAATTCAAAATGTCTGATCTGTGTGACATTTCATACTTCCTTGATATCGAATTCTATAATATTATTAGAGGTTTGATGATGCATTAAAGAAGATATGAAGAAGAAATTATCAAGAGATTTGAGATGGAAGAATGCAACTCAACATCAACACTTGCAGAACCAAGACTCCAACTAGCGAAAGATGCATATGAAGATGATGTTGACCCAACCTAATACAGAAGACTTATTGGATCATTAAGATACCTTTGTCATACAAGACCTGGATTAGCATACAGTGTAGGTATGGTAAGTAGATTCATGCATAAACCAAAGGTATCACATCTAGCAGCGGTAAAGAGGATACTAAGGTATCTCAAAGGAACTTTCAACTATGGTACTTTGTTTCCTGCAGCTGATAAAGGAAAAAAAATGCAAGTTAGTGGGATACACTAATTTGAGTTGGTGTAGTGATGTTGAGGATCGAAAATTCACAGTAGGATATGTGTTTATGTTAGGTGATGCACCAGTTTCTTAGAGTTTGAGAAAGGAAACGATAGTGACATTATCATAGTGCGAAGCAGAATACATAGTTGCTTCTCTTTGTGCATGTCAAGCAACGTGGATGGTGAATTTGGCCGAAGAGATAACAGGGAAAGATCATGGAGAAATTAACATGAAAATTGACAACATATCAACTATCAGCCTGTCGAAGAACCTGATAGCACATGGTCGAAGCAAGTACATTGAAATGAGGTTCCACTATCTTCGAGAGCAGGTAGAAGATGGGAAGATAAACTTGGAACACTGTAGAACTGAGAACCAGATTGCATACATCATGATGAAGGGTGTGCAAGTTAAAGTATTTTGAAGACTAAGAGCTATGATGAATGTAGATAGCTTAGACACAATGAGTTAGGTGGTGTGTTGAAAGTAATTCCTTGTGTTGAAGCGGTTTGCTCGACAGAGACAAGAGAGTGTCGAAAAGATTTAATTTAGAAGTGTGGAAACAATTTGTTACACATAAATTCGTTTTAGATTTAGATAGATTTGATTTAGATCTAAAATAAATAGATTTGATTTAGTTCCAAAATAGGTATTTTCAGCTTTTATAGTTTTGAGTTTTGGCATAGCTAGCAAACTAACATAAATCTATAAATAGAGGGAGTAACCCATATTTTTGTAATCAAGTCAATTCATTGTCACTTGCAAAGTGAATAATAAAGTTTTCTATAGTTTGTGGACAGAGGGAAACTCTGCAGAAAATTATTTGTCTTATTTCTTTTCTTTTATATAATTCATTGTCATTTTATAGAGATATCAATCTTATTCATCATGATTGATAGAAATTCATCATAGATTTTGGTAGATTTCCCACATAAATAATATATTCATAACAAGGTACTCACTCACTATTAATAAATGTTTTGTTTTATCAATAAAAATTGTTTATGAAGTGTATAAAAATGATATAGAATTGTAAAAAAAAAAAAAAGAATTGTGTACGAAGTGACTCATTAATGCATGCTCATAACAAAAGATGACTCAAAATACTCTTAAAAAACATATGAAATATAATATAAGTTTTATTATAATATTACTTAATAAGTTCTGCAACGAGTCTCTCTACGCATTCAATAGTTAGTACAATCACTAGATTTGAAAGAGACAATATTTTTATTGAGGTCATAACCAACCAAATAATTCACTTGTGCCATGTCTCCAAAGAGGCCTAATCCGTTTTTATACGGGATAAATGCAAAGCATTCAACCCCCTTGTATAGGGAATAAAAGGCGCCCTTCGAATCTAACTTAACATCTGCGCCTTTAAAATGTGCCGTAATTGGTGGAAAATTTTGTTTGGATGTGATATTGTAACAAAGGCGAAATGTATCTGTGTCATCTTGAAAACGCGGTAATTTAACCACTTTTTTCATAGCTGATTCCATCTTATAGTAAACACGATGTGGAAGAATACATACATTTGTACCAGAGTCAATTATGATATTATGGGTAGAAGCATTTGTTCCTTCACGTTTAAATCCTCTATATTTTATTCTTTTATTTCCCACACTAAATGCTTTCATAGTTAGCTAGTAATGGTCTTTCTGGCGGTTCCCTATCATTTTGACTATAGGAGTTGAAAAAACATTATCACCGGTAACAATAGCATCATCTCCAAAATTGAGTTTGCTAGATCTATTAGATTTGCTATTGTGCTCATCAATTAAACAATATGAAAATTTTCCCCCAATTGAAGATCCTAATTGTTTTATTAGTGACGTATCTCCACTTTCAAATCCAATTACACCAGAATTTGGACCATTATACGTTGGCTCGCCATTATTGTGTCCACATCCTATAACTATTTTAGGAAACGAGACAAAAGAGCCGAAGGCAGAATCCAATGTAAGAGTCTCTTCACTAAGATCTCCATGTGTATCTATTCCATTACCATAATCTAATGTGTACTGGCAAGCATCTCCATCAGAAGAACAAGAAGTATCTTCCATAGATTTGCATGTTCTAGAAGAGCATGAAATATTTTTGTAACTCGAAGATTTTGAAGGATCAAAAATAGGAGAGGTTTGGTTGTAACATGAATTACAAGGTTTGCATTGAAGCCAGTTTAAGTTACTAGCTGTATCTAAAATCCCATAAACTTGAAACGGTGGGGTGCCAACTGAATAACTCATGAGATACTCACCGTAATCAAAGGGCATGTACGACTCAAGTTTGTTTTTAGTAGAAGAAAGTTCTTTGTAGAAATAATTAGCACGATTGATTGAACGACGCACAACATTAAAATTTCTTTAAAGTTTAGTTTGTGTGGGGTTGTAAAGTGGTGATTTGAAAGAATCACGATGAATTAGTTCAACACTAAAACCATTGTTTTTTGCATGAGAAATAACTACTAAACAAGATAAACAAATAAAAATAAAGATAAAAAGTGAAAAATGAGACATTGTTCTTGACATTCGAGTGAAAACTTGTTCATCCCAGTTATATACTTTCATTGCTTTATATAAGATGGAGAATATAAATAAATGAAAAAAAATTAATAACAAGAGAAACTATAGCGAACAAAATAACTCATCTATTTTCTATTATAAATAAAATTATAAATTTTAAATTATAATCAATGTATTTAGTCTATATAAAGATAAAATACATTCGTTATTTTTTTTATTATCACAAAATATATATGTTATTGAATTAATACAAAAAGTAAAAATTATTTATAATAAATAATAGTAAAAAATAAGAAATATTAGTTCAATCATATATAAATATATCGGTTAACTACTATATTTATTTTGGTAAAATAAATATATTGGTTAACTACTATTTTAAAGATTTGATTTGACTTTTTGCTTACTAAATAAGATTAATTTATTTTCATTCAATGCAAATTTTAATATTTAATTAATTTCATATTATTTTAAAGAAGGAAACATTGTATCCATAGGATCAAAAATACTAATCGATCCATCCACATTAAATAATTATAAATTAACAATTAATATTACATATATGTTTGCAATTTTGGAGTGTCACTATAATGTGCATATATCAACGTCACTGGTAATGTCACTATTATTTTGAATTTTTATCTAAAATTAAAAATGTTTAATTATATCTTTTACTTTGACATTTTTATTCATATCCTTCTGTTTTAATTCACTTTTTTGTATTAAAAATAATTCTTAGAATATAAGGAATATAAATAGAATTTATTTTTTTAGTTGAATAGTCTAGAGATTGGAGTTCATTTAACTAAAGATGAAACATGATAATATAAATAAAATTTAATTAAAATTCATTGGTAGTGTATATTTTACACTATTAATTAATTATAATTATTGATTTGTTTGAAAATTTAATTTTTATTTTAAGTTTATTTAAATTAGTACATTTGAATGATAATGATATATTGATAGTGTAAATAAACTTATATATAAATATTTGATAATTATATACTATATATATAATAAATATTTATGGAAAATTTATGGCCTTGTTTTAAATACACATCTCAAATGATTATCATTAAATAATATAATACAGAAACAAAGTTTTAATTGTGTAAATTTAATAAAAAACTATATTGAGAACTCTGTATTTATTGATAATAACAGTTTGTTAATGTATTATTGTATAAGTTTTACTCAATAGTATAGTTTTCTATTGATATAATTCTCACTAATGATATACTAATGATATTTGATATGATTCGAGTTATGCTTTAATGGTGGTTCTCACAATCTTTTCTTTTGGATGAAATTCAATATTGTGGTTGTCTCCAAAGCAACATACTATTGAAAGATTGTTTACTGAGATATAATATTTGAATGTGGACAATTTTTTTAAGTATAAATACATATATTATATAAAATAGGAGATTTATATGATTTCTTATCATTTTGGTATTGAATTGATAATCTTCGAATAATTAATTTTTTTAATCAAATAAAATAATTATTTTTATATATTTATATTATTAATTTATTCTTATTTTAATAAAATGTCTATATCGTTGAAAATCTTATCATTGTTATAACTAAAGTCTAACAAAACTATATTTGGAAAAAAATGTCTATCATATTAAAAAGTTCAACGGTATATCCTTACTATTTAGGTTAATGTTGGATAAAAATAGCAGTTGACTTAGTTGATAGTTTATAACTTATAACTGATAGTTTATAGTTTATAATTGATGATTGATGACTTATAATTATTATTTGGAATTTTCGATAAAGCTTCCAAAATCGAGCTAAGAGAAGAGGAAAATGAAAAGACCTTGGTTGAAATTTTTGGACTCGTGGGCGAGAGCATAATCGACGGACATATGGGCGACAAGACATGAAGATGGCAAATTGGATGTCGAGATCTGGTTTGAAGAGGGAGACGTGGACTTAGGATTTTTTTAGGTAACAAGTGCGGATAGTTCGACCAATGCAGTTACGTTGACAGTTGAACCAAGCAAACATGGTGTGGTAACCACTTCTTAACCTTATCCTCAATATGAAGATGTGCATAAGTAATTTACAAAATAAGAAGATATGTGAGGGAAACATGGCGTTCAGTGAAAAAAGCCCGCCTTAAAGTAATTATTTTTATTTTTATTATAAATAGTAGTTTCATTATTAGATTTAGAGGTGTTCAAATTTACTCTCAAACTCACACAAACTCAGAGTATCCAGCGAAGCACGAAATGAGTCTCACGAGTGCAATGTATGTTTGATCACTAAAATTCCATTTAGGCAAAACTTTTCATTAAATTTTCTTTACTTTCCTTTATGTTTCATGGTTGAAATATTTATATTTCCAGTCAAAACTTTACTTTCACTTGCTTTAAATTTCACAACATGATCTTTACCACGGTCAAAATCACCCAAACTCTTATTACTTTTACTATATTTGAAAAACTCCATGCACATTGTTTTGAGATTCACTAGTCGATCTCGAAAAGTAACCTTTAATAAGAGACTGGCGTTGTTTACTAAATTGGCACGTCCAGTGGGACATTGTGTGTCACTACACAAACACGGCCGCCATCAAATGTTATTTATCTCCAGAAAGGGAAAGGAAAACATCGAGAAAACCCAAAAAGGGGATGAACAAGTACTACTAGCGACCAAATTCGGATCCGGGTGTCGATTATGCAAGGAGAAGGTGTTATCACCCCTCACGTCTATTGTACTCAATGAGATTCATTCTTGTTGTTCTAATCAAAGGGTGTGTTATATCTAAAGCTTAATTTCTAAGGGAATGCATGAAAGAGTTAATAAGGGGAAAACAAAAGGTTTTTATTATTGAGTTCGTCTGAGTTTTGTAACCCAATGCCTATGTATCCCCGGAAGGAATTATAACTCTGTAGTTCTCTTCAAAAAGATTTTGGTTTGTTGTATATTTTTTTAGGAACGATATTAAGTTCGCATTCTAGCAGTTAGACGAATTTGTTTGCGGTAGAAAGAAATTGACATGTCCTTTTTTAAAAATGTTTTAAAGAAAAGCCCTAAGGCAAATAAGATTTTAATTTGTTGAGTGTTTTGTTATGAGAATACATCAAATGGTCCTCCAAGGCCGGAGATATCTGAGTACTTTTCCTTTAATTTTTGAAAGTGTTCAAGTATTATTAAATGTTTTGGGTTTATGATCACACAATAATTTTAGTCTTAAGAGAATGCAATACAAAAGAAAGAATAAAATTCTAAAGGGGAAATGGGTCCTATTTGTTATCATGTAATGATGGACTTAAGGTTGAGATATCAAGGGATTCTATATCCTAAAGTTATCATGCAATAATGACTATAAGGTAAGGATGAAAGGGAAATCCTAAATATGTTATCATACTTAGATATCAATTATAAGGTCTACCTCAATTCAATCTCAAATTAATTGAATCAAGATCCTAAGGGTGCATGTGAACATACAAAGTAAGCAAAGCAAAAACTTGAAAGTAAAAGGTAATAACCCAAAACAAATCTCAAGTACTTAACCAAGACTCAAGATAATTAACAACTTCAACTTTTAGAGGTAACCATCAACACAAATCTTAAGTACTTAACCAAGACTCAAGACAAGTCATACTTAACCAAGCAAGACTAAAAAACAAACACAACTTAAGCTTAACAAGACTCAGGACAAACATAACTCAAGCCTAACAAGACTCAAGACAAACAAGAGTCAACTAAGCAAGTATTAGGTAAACAAAACATCAAGCCTAAGCTTTTTGGTAACAATCAAAGTAACATCAAACAAGTGATCAAGACACAGCATAAAGATTGATATCAAATATCTACAATACAAAACCCTAAGGAAAGTAATAGCTCATGTCACAAGGAATCACATTTTAAACTTCTAAGGTTAATAAATAACATATCACAAGAAACTAAAGGCAAGGCATACAAGACATGATATAAGAAGTGACTCATTAGTGTATGCTCATAAAAAAATATGACTCAAAATACTCTTAAAAAACATATGAAATATAATATAAGTTTTATTATAAGATTACATAATAAGTTTTGCAACGAGTCTCTCTATGCATTCAATAGTTAGTACAATCACTAGATTTGAAAGAGACAATATTTTTATTGAGGTCATAACCAACCAAATAATTCACTTGTGCCATGTTTCCAAAGAGGCCTAATCCGTTTTTTTGCGAGATAAATGCAAAGCATTCAACCCCCTTGTATAGGGAATAAAAGGCGCCCTTCGAATCTAACTTAACATCTGCGCCTTTAAAATGTGCCGTAATTGGTGGAAAATTTTGTTTGGATGTGGTATTGTAACAAAGGCGAAATGTATCTGTGTCATCTTGAAAACGCGGTAATTTAACCACTTTTTTCATAGCTGATTCCATCTTATAGTAAACACGATGTGGAAGAATACATACATTTGTACCAGAGTCAATTATGATATTATGGGTAGAAGCATTTGTTCCTTCACGTTTAAATCCTCTATATTTTATTCTTTTATTTCCCACACTAAATGCTTTCATAGTTAGGTAGTAATAGTCTTTCTGGCGGTTCCCTATCATTTTGACTATAGGAGTTGAAACAACATTATCACCGGTAACAATAGCATCATCTCCAAAATTGAGTTTGCTAGATCTATTAGATTTGCTATTGTGCTCATCAATTAAACAATATGAAAATTTTCCCCCAATTGAAGATCCTAATTGTTTTAT